AACCAAACCAAACCAAACCAAACCAAACCAAACCAAACCAAACCAAACCAAACCAAACCAAACCAAACCAAACAACAAACAAAAATTATCTTAAATGTAAAGAGCATAACCATGTTAAATGTAAAACCAGGAAAGGTCTTCTCTTTTAAAACGCATCCTGGTAATTGAGTGCATGAGAGCTGGGGACAGGTGTAGCTGAAAGGACACACAGGGAAGTAAAACTCACGGTAGATTCTGTCTATCTTCATCTTTGTCTTGAACATCAATGTTTATCCATTCTTGTCTGGAGCAAAGACTTCCATTCAATAAGAATGCAGGCTGTTGAACCAAGAAGGCATCAGAAGTCTTAGAGATGTGGAATTTCGAGTCTGGTTCTGTAAAAATCCATATTTTTTTTCCACATCTCATTACATTCTTCTTCTTTGTTCTTACAGTCTTCATTTATTTCTCTTCTTTTTGTCTCTCTCTGCCACACATTTCATTTTCTCCCCCTGCCTTTCCACAGAGCACTCCTTTCTTGGACACTAAAGCACATTTTCACAAAGTTCGTCCTTTTTTGTGTTGAATATGTTTTTGGGGAAATGTATGGTAGCCAGTAACTGGAAATAATTATAGAGACACCTACAGACCTTCCCTGATCTTCCTGATTTATGAGCATATAACATTCAACCCTACAAGTTTTACAGAACTATTTAAAAATAATAATTTCAACACTGCTCTTTACTCAAATTGCTTGTTTCTTTTTAAATAGAAATAGCTTTGAGAAGTGTTCTCTTTACCGTGAATCCCTTTGGCGGTCTACTGGGGAAAACCAGTGAGACCTTGGGAACATAACAACCCTCTGGAAACCTGATGTGCCACAGTTGTGTTTTCATCAGCAACTTCTCTTTCTTTTCTATTCCCTGCAACATACCCAAGACCACACAACAGCTCTGCCTTTTAGTTTTGGCTTGTTCCTCATAATCAAAGCTGAAAGGCCTTCTAAGTAGGCACATTTGCATTCCTCCTGCAAGTCCATTAAGGAACAGCTGTGCCACACATGCTCACCAGTTGCTAAATGAGGAACGTCCCATCCATTCTGTGCCACATTTGAAAGTTGATTGTAGCAGCCCTGTATTGAGTTCAGTTCTCAATGTATGTCCATATGCAAGCATGCAGAAAGTGTAAACGTATTGCATGATTGGCCTTGAAGTTTTGAACACTATGTTAAATGAATAGTAGAAATTAACTCATTGAATCTCATTTCTCTTGAGGCTTCATCTAGTCAGAATGATGGTTCATACATCCTGACTACAGAGGGACCATGCTTTGTTTTGTTCTTAGGCGCCAGGTGATGCTGGCCACCTGAGATGATCATCATTCTCACCAGAGGGTCACACTCGTGTAGTCACCTGAGTGACTTAGGTGTCACTTTGTCTCTTTGTGTTACCCTCCCCACCTAGCCTCACTTCCTCTCTATCCAGGCACTCTTCTATAGAACCAGGACACCTCCTCCAAAATCCACTTCTAGAATGATACAAAATCCATCTGTTATCAGATTACTTAAACCCGCCTTAAATGTTGATATTCAAAAGACAGGATGATCCATTTCATTAGATCTACCTACATCTACACATTCCCAACACTTTCCTGTTATCCCTTTTCCTTCAGCTTCTATGGGTCTTTTGTAGGCTAACGTGGGATAGGCATGTTGGTAGTGCAAAGGTAAAAGATGATGATGTTCAGTTAACCTGTCATATTGGCCAAACCACAGTCCCTTGAAGACCCAGATGGCACAGCCCCAGGAAACCCATGCCCAGGAAAGGATCTCCTACTCCTTGCTTTCAAAACTCTAGTGCTTCCCTCCTGTTGAAGTAAGATTTGCAGGAGACTCTGGCATTAAGTGATGGCTAACAACAAAAAGAAAGATGATGAAGACTTGGGCAAAAAATGTTGCTGATTAGTTCTGAGGGTTCCGTCGAAAGAGGGAAGAATACGATTAGATGCCCCTAAGTCACTTGTAAATTATTTCATAGAGGCTCAGTCGGACTGTTTGGTGTTTGTCAAAGGCATAACTAAGGATGACCGCTGTTCATTTTTTTTTTTCTCAAAGATGTTTTCTAAACCTTCCACTGCAGGTGGTGTCGTCCTCAACCCAGCCTATTACGGCATGCCGGGCCACACCAACATCATGATCCATGAGGTGGGACACGTCCTGGGACTTTACCATGTTTTCAAAGGCGTCAGTGAAAGAGAGTCCTGTGATGATCCCTGTAGAGAGATAGTGCCTTCCATGGAGACAGGAGACCTGTGTGCTGACACTGCTCCTACACCCAAGAGCAAGCTGTGTCAGGACCCAGAGCCAGCTAATGACACCTGTGGCTTCACTGGCTTCCCGGGGGCTCCATTCAGTAACTACATGAGCTACACAGGTATGACCACAGACTGGACATTTTCGTTTCTATTAAGATCACTTAGTGTCTTTGGGAATTGGTAGGGTACAGTTAAGGGAGCCAGGGAAGTTCATGTCACAGAGTAGAAGAATATTTTGTGTTGGGTCTTCCTTTATTTTCAATGTGCTTGATGTATTTGACAAAACGGTGGGCTAATACAGGCTCTTATTGCATAGTTTATTGTCCAGAAGACCTTAGAAGTGAAACATATTTCTGTCTTAAATAAAATGGGACAAAGTCAGAAATGTCCTTGAGTTCTGCTCAGCATTTACAACATGATGATTATCATTTGGGCATTTATCTGGAAGGCTCTCTAGTCGGGTAGTGACAAATGACAGATGTCTGCATAGAGATGTTCCTTCATTACTTTTACAGATAGTTCACAAACTGAAATGATTAACTGAAATACTACAAACCTTTTATCACATGTAAAAAATCAGATTCTTTTCTAACACAACATTGATTCTTAGTTAGCCTTCCATGTACTGAGCCCAAAATAATACCTTTTCTTTCTTTATTTTTTTTTTAAATGGTGCCTCCTTGATTCTGAGGAAAACTGTGTTGTGTGGCCTGTGCTCTTTTGGGTCATCTCCAGATCATTCTTACCTGTGTCTCAGACTTTCCTTATTTCTTGCAAAAAGTAACAACAAGCACTCTTCTAATAATGGGCATAATTGTAATTAAATTGACAACTAATTTGATTTGATCACCTACTTCAATGGTGAAAGAAGGCAATATTTTAGTGTTCTGTGTTTTAAGGAAAGGCAGGCTGCCAGTCCCCACTCATGGTTTCAAATGTAAAAAAGAATAAGGAGCTAGTTGGCTCAGCCTGAGGCCTCTTAAGATGTTTCTTTCCAACGTTGTGCACAATGAATTGAATTCATAAGCATCAACACCTCTGCTTCCCTCAGCCAGGAATAGGTGACCTTGGATACACAGAGTCTAGGAGAAGAGACTTACCTGCCGCCTTTAAGTGTGGCAGAGACAATGTTGAGAAGCAGAACAGGGAGGTTTGGGGTCTACTCTAAATCGAAAAGTGCTTGAAACAAAGATCACTCCTCATCCTTATGAAGTGTGTACTCAACACGGGGATTTTACTGGCTCTGAGAGTAAGACTGGGGCCATCATTCCCATCTCTGAAGCTGCCTTGACATTTCAGCTTCCTCTCCACTGAGTAGCTCACTCTCCTTGAGCATGGTTGCAGGGAAGGTGTAGGTAATTCCAAACACAAGTGAGAAGACCCTCTGCTGAAACACCGCCACCTTGTGGTGTGCTCAGCAGGTAACCATCAGTTTAGAAGAGCAATTCTCAACAGGCAGGTTGCTGCCCCTTTGGGTTGCATACCAGATATCCTGTGCCTCGGATATTTACACTGTCATAAGAGCAGCAAAATCACAGTTATGAAGTAGCAACAAAATAATTTTATGTTTAGGAATCACCACAACATGAAGAACTATATTAAGGGTTTGAAGCATTAGGAAGGTTGAGTATCATTGGCTTAGGACAATCCTATGACTTCATGACCAGAGTCTCATCCTGGGACAACATGGAGAATACGGTAATGACCTTGCTGCTGAGAAAAGCAAGTTCTGTGTCTCTTCTTGTCCATGTCTGACTTTCTTTCTAGCAGAGAATGCATTTCTTTCCAGAGTCTAATGTTTTGTGAATCTAATAAATGCAAGGTGCATGGTGCAAGGAAGAGTGAGAATAGTGAGATTTGCCATGCTTTGTGCACTGGTACCGGTTACAGCTTTCACTTTTTTTTTTTTTTGTCTCTACAGATGATGACTGCACGGACAACTTCACCCCAAACCAAGTGGCCCGGATGCATTGCTATTTGGACCTCGTATACCAGCAATGGAGTGAAAGCCAAAAGCCCACCCCTATACCCATCCCGCCAATGGTTATTGGGCAAACCGACAAGTCCCTCACTATCCACTGGCTGCCTCCCATTAGCGGAGTGGTGTATGACAGGTGAGGGAGGTACTCCACTATCATTGAACCATTTCAAAAGAGGGAAAATATAATAGGAAGGGGAGGCCTTACTATGTCGTGAATGATGGCTGCCCAGGGCTACCCTCTTGAGTCTGTAATGGGCTCAGCTCCTTAGCAGGGCTTAGGGTCTCTCATGAGAGCTAGAGGTGCATTATGTGTGGTAATTCCCCACAAGAGTGGCCTGGCAGAACTGGCAAGGCATTGGCCATCTGCTTTAGTGAGCTTTTCTTCTGCAGGGTAAGGCTTGGTTCTTGGACAGTGGTGACTGGGGAAAGGGAAGCAGATGATGTTCCTTTAGTCAGTTCTAGGGTGAAGAGAGAAATTGTAGGGGTATATAAACTGAACCCAGTATTTCTGTGTTTCAGAAACAGAATTTCACTGTTTCTGTCTTTAGTTCAACCCTGCACCCTGCCTGATGATCACTATTGAAACTGCAATTACTTGTCCTTTCTACTGGCAACCAGTCTTTGAGACTGCCATTGTCAACACTTAATACATACTCATTGAAGAAAATCATCATATCTGAAGCCGGCTATCATTCTTCTTTGCCTGCTTGTAGAAGTGATCTCAGAGAAATCTTGAGAGAGAGAGATAGAGAGAGAGAGAGAGAGAGAGAGAAAGAGAGAGGGGGGATCTGATGTGGCAATAGGGAATATGGGTTTAACTGGAAAGGCTCCTTTGACCATGCAGACTTGGCTTTCTAGAGCTGACACCCAGATGCTGAATAACAGGAAGCTGCTTTCTCTTTAGTTCCGCTGTGTGGGGGACACGGTGAGAGATCTGGCTTCACTCATTTAATGTGGTCCTTACAGTGAGGGCCAGTCTTGCCTGTGAGTAAGAAACACATGGGGCTGGCTCAAGGCCCCACCACAGGTGATTCTGGGGAAATTCTGAGATGAGGAACACAGAATAGATAAATATTTTGAATTTTGAGTTTTCTCATTTTGCAGGTAGACATCTTTTATTTTCCTCAATATAATATTTTATTAATTCTTTGAGAATTTCATATAATGGAATACAAGTGCTTTCTCCTCAACTCCTATCTCTGACTCCTCCAAGGTCTACCTTCACCTTTCCATGTCCCTAAATTTATGGCTGTTATAATTTTTTAAAATAACCCATTGGTTCCTCTTTGTGCTTTCTACATGCTCACTGGTATAGGAGCATCGGACAGTGACTCTTCTTTGTACAACACTTCCCTGTGGGTATCTAGGTCCAGCTAGGGGGCAGATGTCTCTGGAGCATGCCCTCATGCTCTCTGGATTTAATGAAAGCCTGGGGTTTGGGCCAGATAAGAAGAGATGAGGATATAAGAAAGCCAGTGGATTCTTTTTTTCAAAGCGATATTCACAGGTTCTTAAAATCTTCATTCCTTGACTCACACTTAGTCGTGACATCATTTAGCACTCACAGCACTACAAAATAGTTTGCATTGTCATCAGCACCCAGATTTTCATGGGTTCCTTTGGTGATTCAGCATACATCTATGCAATGTGTATAAGAATCATCTTCCTGCAAGTGTGACCTTGTGCAGCTCTGGCAGGGCCAGCTGAACAGTAAGTCCTGTGTGGGTACACACAAACCCAAGTTTTACATCAGTTTATGCAACACGTATAAACAATTTAATCTTTCAATTCTCTCTCTGGTACAAATGTTACGATAGAGCAGACATCAGAACTGGCTTGCTGAGAGTCTGTTGGCAGAAAAGACTGCAATTTGCTTCCTTTCCTCGGCTAGGTGGGCTACAGTTTTGAGGCTTCCTAGCACGTGCGTTGGAGAGACTCACGTCACATGCCCAGCAATTTGTGTCATGCCTGGAGTTCTGTTTACTCCACCCTTGTAGGTATTTGGAACCCTTGTGTCAGAGAGGAGCCCCAGCTACGCACTCTGCAGCAGCTCCGGAAGGGCAAGTACATCAGGGAAATGTGGTTTGGACTTGTGTCCACGTTAGCACGAGTACTGAGGGAACCAGGGGATAGGTCTTATCTAGATCTATCAGTTGCCAAAATACTGAACCCTTTGTTTGGGAACTTGTTCAAAGGAATTAAGGAACTTGTGACTTTGGGCAACTGAGTTGAAGCTTTCTGAGTCCCAGTTTTCTCATTCGAAAGCAGGGCATCATTACAAGGATTAAAAAGTTATGAAAAACACAAGGCCAGACATGCAAGGTGCTTAATGGATGGGGGTTATTGTCATAATTGTTGCCTTTGTTGAATAATAAGGTTTTGCTAGTATTTTTTAGCTACTCATCAGCTAGTCATGTTTTCTTGATATGCTGCCTGATTTGAAGTTTTCATTTCAGATATGTTGTCCATAATTGGGCTTTTAAGAATATGCCAAGTTGGGGGGGGGTTCTCAGAAAGTAGTTAGCCCTTGTATAACTTTACATAGTCATCTCTACATATTCAGATTACCCCAAATGTGATGATTGTAAAACCTCTTCATAGACCGAATTATCTCACAGACATCTACAGAATAGACATTTACAAATGGTCCGCTGAATCTAGTTGTGTGCCGATTCTTAGGGACACAGTGAGAACTGAGCAGGCCCAGTTATACACACGAGCCCAGGAGCAAAAAGAGGACGGCTGTACACTTGCAGCACCGCATAGCAGTATCCTGAGAAAGATGCTGACTGTAGGGGTGTGTCCAGAGAGGCAGGAGCCAGACTCACAGAGGAGGATGGTTAAAGCACCATTGAGGAGGTCACAACTGAATAACTAAATTAAGAGTTTCCTGAGCAGGGATGCTTGAAAAGCCCGTTTGATCGTTGTAAGAATGTATGTTTTGTGGAGCCATGTGAATGGCATGGAGTATTTGGAGCGTGGAGTGGTGGAATTTGTACTAGAAATATAAAGTTTTTGGAGGAACTGCGGACGTAAGTAAGGCTGGAGCCTGGCTTGTGACACCATCTGGTGTTGATAAGGAAGTGTGATCCATTGCTATGGGCAATGAAGACTCAAAGGGCATTACACGTCACACTTTATCTTATGCATGTATGTAAAGATAGGGGATTAAAAGTCATAGCACCTATGGTTAATGACTTCACTCTAAAACCATTGTTTTGGTGGGCAGCGATGGGTTTCCTATGCCTTCCCGACACTTATATACTATACAAAAGGGTTTTGCGTTGGTTTTAGAAGAAAAATATGCTTGTGTCTTGTTTAATGATTCTAGGACAAAAGCTCCCTTCCATCGCACAGGCCGCTTTATGACTTTGTTAAACTGTTCTCTTTCCTGAGAAACCTTGAGGTTTCTCACGTCTTGTGATTTTTGCAAAGATGAGGTCTAAAGAAGGACCCAAGCTGCAATAATAGGTGTGCCCACTTGTCCCTCGGGTTCTGATTCTCCAGTGACACCCTCCTTCCCCAAAGTCGTCTGGTTCCTTTCCCCTAGTTCAACCTAAGGACGCTCACTTCTTCATCCTTCCTTTTCCCAGGGCCCCTGGCAGTATGTGCGGTGCCTGCACTGAAGATGGGACATTCCTTCAGTATGTACACAAGGCATCCTCCGGGCGGGTGTGTGACTCTTCAGGTTACTGGACTCCGGAGGAGGCTGTGGGTAAAGTACCATGGGTTTTTGACTAATATTTTAGTGCCCACAGAAAACGGGTAACGAATGAAGCAGGGGCGTATGTTTGTATTTTTGCACGTGAAAGGGTGTGCTGAATATTCTCCTCGGCCTTGGAAACACTACCGGTGCTTTTGCATGCTGAGTGTCCCCGACCAGGTATAATGTGAATGTGCCAAAGTTGTGAGAACTCAACTCATCTCAAGCATAACCTCAGGGTAAGGTAGGGCCGGAAATGTCCCATATGTCTGCTTGTCCCTGGAACAGCTTCAGTGCATGACGCTGAAAGCTAAGTGCTTATTCCTCTATATCAGGATAGTAATAGAGAACACATTGCTGAGGACACTCATGCGCTGGCTGAGCAAGTCTGGGTGGGGGTAGGGTGGACTAGGTGTTCCACACGGCTCGTTCTCATCTACGCTATTTTATGAGTCTATTAATCACTGGGTACTGGTTGTGCTTTGAATGTGCTCTAAGCTAGGCTCTAGAAGGGAGAAGATGTTTTTCGTTATTTCATTTCCTGTCCCTCCCCCAAGTTATCTAACAGTCACATCCTCACATATGTATATCAGGGTCTAGAAGACAGATTTCAACACGGGTCTTTTCATTGCCAGTGCACAAGGTGCTGTTGACATGGCTACTAGCCCTTCGTGAGAAAGGGCTTGACTTCTGCCATCACCATCTTTGGTTTGTTTTTTATTTCTGGTTGTAGGGTTTTTTGTTTTTTTTTTGTCATTAATTTTTCAAGACAGGGTTTCTCTGGGTGGCCCTGGATGTCCTGGAACTAGCTCTGCAGACCAGACTGGCCTCAAAAATCAGAGATCCACCTTCCTCAGTCTCCAGGGTGCTGGGACTAATGGAGAGTGCCATTATCCCTGGCTCTTCACCATTATTTTGATACCCACCTAAAAAATTATTTTCTGGACATCCTCCTCTTTGCAGGTACTAAAAGCCACAAAACCACTGAGAAAGGTGTGTTAGAAACAGTCTGTTTGAACTAATTTTCTGCCTTGTTTGTGACTAGGAAAATAGAACAATAACAACAAAAAAATGACCCATGCGTAAACAAAGACCGCCTAATGTCACGTTGGGCTCATACTTATTCAAGTGATATAGCCTCAGGGAGAAAGCTGGATGGAGAGGATTGACAGCACTGATCATATATGAATCTTTTCAAAAGAGGTTTTTTGGGAAGAATAAAAAGCATTGTGCAATTCACAGAAATGGGCTTTTCTGGAGATTGACAGTCCACACAAAACTCTTTCTATGGCAATCTGTTTAGTCCTGGGGACTTTAATGCTGCTCTGAGGCTCAGAACTGTATGTGTTTTAATTTTGGGGAAAGTTCTAAGCTCTCTGACAGAGGGGTAGGAATTTGAAGTTACAGGTACTCATCTTTGTATCTTGAAACAAACAAATAAAGTCAACTCTCAGGTCTTCTATTCCATGTTTCACATGAAGTCATAACAAACTTTTGACAGGAAGTGCTTCTGTTGATTGGAACCTTTGCTTTGCTAGTATTTAAAGATAACCACTGGAAATTCTGTTAGGAAAAAAATGGCCTACTTTTGCTCTAGAAGCACAAACCGCTAGGTCATATTTTAAACAAATACACACAAGCAACTTAATATGATGGGGGTTACCTATTAGTACTTATTTATAAATAAGAAAATCAAGACTCACAGTTTCTGGCACAGTGTCTACGAGAGCCTCATTACGCTAATTCCTTGTTCAATACTTCTACTTCACTTTCCCCCATGAAATACGAAGGAACATGACTCTTACATGGATTATTTCCCCTGAGCTGACTGCAATATATTTGTGATACTTGATTTTTTTTCTTCTTTATATTTTTGCTTGGCTGATGAATTGTAAATTTTCCTGCCCCATCACATGTGTTTATGTTTTCCGGTTTCCTACACGTGGTTACCTACTTGCATAGAAGTACTTGAACTGAAATGGAAATCTCAATGCATGACTTTAAAGTTTGGCTAACAGTCAAAGTGCCAAGGTGGGAACTCAGGAAATAAAATTTTAGTGAGGAGGACCAGAAAGAGTGTGGCAGTAAGTTAAAATTAGCACTCGGCTTTAGAAATGTTAACCTATCATAGTTATTAATAAACTATGTGTAGATAATTCTCTGCTCAATGTTTTTTTTTTATAAGATAGAGCTTAATTTCTCTGCATTAATCTCATGGTTCCTCTTATGATTGCATTATCCCACTCTATTTTCACTTCTTGTGGACCCTCTCGCTAAAAGTCACTATGTGCAAATGACAGAGTTGTGGGGTCAGAGACTTCTATGCTTTTCCCGAGGAACACTTAAGAGACAATCCACAAAATGATGAGTTTTCTGTAAGAATTTCGAAGCCTCAATCCTTCTGTCTGCTGATATGGGCTGTTCTTTCTCATGATTTTATTTTTATTTAAAAAAAAAATTATAATTCATTCACTTTACATCCCGATTGCAATCCTCTCCTTCATCTCTTCCTAGCCCCGCCCTCTTTCCCTCTCCCCCCCTTTGCCCTTCCCTTGTCCTCAGAAAGAGGGAGCTCTCCTCCCCTACCCTCTGACCCCAGCCTATCAAGTCTCATTAGGACTGGCTGCATCCTCTTCCTCTGTAGGCTGGATAGGCTGCTCTGTCAGGAAGTGATCAAAGAGTGGGCAATAGAGTTCGTGTCAGAGATAGCCCCTGTTCCCCTTACTAGGGTACCCACATGGAGACTGAGCTGCCTGTTGGATATGTCACCCCTCCCGCGCCCCCACCTCTAGGCCCCTTTGTCATGATTTTAATGGTGATTCCTGGTGCATCTTTTCTCTCATCTCCCTAGGGCCCCCTGATGTGGATCAGCCCTGTGAGCCTAGCTTGCAGGCCTGGAGTCCTGAGCTCCACCTGTACCACATGAATATGACGGTGCCCTGCCCAGTAGAAGGCTGCAGCCTGGAACTGCTTTTCCAACACCCGGTTGAAGCTGATACTCTCACACTCTGGGTCACTTACCTCTCCGTGGACTCTTCCAAGGCACTCTTTGATGTAGAGATCTTGCTAGAACACAAGGAATCTGTGCACCTGGGGCCCTTAAACACTTTTTGTGACACGCCGCTCACCATCAAGCTCCACGTGGATGGGAAGGTCTTGGGAGTCAAAGTCTACACCCTTGATGAACGAATGGAAATTGATGCGGCTCTCTTGACGTCTCGGCCCAATAGTTCCCTGTGTTCTGGATGCAGGCCTGTGAGTTACCATGTTCTCAGAGAGCCTCCTTTCTCCAGTGGCTTGCCCGTGGTGGTGACACACCCGCACAGGAAGTTCACCGACATGTAAGTTGGGCAACAGAATCTTCTAAACCATGACCTTCCGGGGGGACTTTATTTCTGTTTGCTTGTCTCTGCTTCCAGTTTTTAACACTCAGGTATGCTTTTAGTTGAAGAAGAATTCAGAAGTTCAGGAGAGAGTTTATCCTAAGTGACATATATAAAATGAAGAAAAATATTTCGCAGAAAAGGGAAAGCAAGCGTTTTGACTGCCAGTGTCGTCATTATGATAATGGGGAAGTTATTTCATGAGGTCTTCCAATTGAGTGAGTGAGATTAATACTAAAGTTGATCAGAATCAGATTTTTCCGTATTGCAGCAATTTTATTTTAGAGTCCTTCTTGTAGCTTTCCAATATTCAGCATGGCTTCCATAATTTTTCAAATTATAGTCGGTTCTTCCAGAGCTATGATAAAAGGCCACAGATCTTTCATCTGTTAAACACAGCTTCATGATTCACCCACCACGTGTATATTTTTTCTGTCTTTTCTTATTTCCTCCCTTCCCTTTCTTCTGCCTTTTGTTTCTAGTTTTCAATTGTTTTACTTAATGTCTTTCCTTCTCCATTTGGTGAGTTCGCCTGTGCTCCTGGCACAGTGTGCTCAGGGTTGGAGACACAGACTGGGGTAAGGATTTTTAACATCTGCCTCAGATGCTGGTATAGTCAAAGGCAAATCCCTCTACTTCAGAATCTTCTTAGAGACTGCCTGGAGTTAGTATAGCATGTTACAGTAGTTTTATCAGAGGGTACGTACTAGTTAATTTTTGCCACATTAGAAATGACCAGATTACAATAGCAAACTTTATTTCTTTATTCTATGCATGGGCTGGGTGACATCTTCTGGCTTGCTTGCTGGATCCCAAGATGATATCATACACACATTGGGATCCTTAATGACACAGCTGACATGGCTGGGAATGTGAAGACCCGTTTCCTCATGACCACTCAAGCCCTGTCGTAGGCAGCTTCTCATGGATGAATGGCCATTTCCAGGAGGGTTCCTAGAAGTGAACGCCCCATCACTTGCAATTTTCAAGTCTCTGCTGGAAATTACTCTTGATAATGTTACATGGAAAATTCCAGATTCAAATAATGAACCACATGTGTTCAAAAGGACAGACAGCAGTCACACAATGTAGAGGTGTGCATATCGGCTGGGGTAGACATTTGGCAATCCACCACAGCTATAAAACCTAGAGGAAAATGCCCAGTGTGAGCTCCAATACATCCTTCTTTCCATCCTTCTTGTCCTCTTTGTTAGCATCAGAAGATTGAAAAAAAATGCTTAAAAAAATAAAAGTAAGTGGAACTCAGATAGTGAGATACATTTAGAAAGAAAAATTAGCATTATTTAGATTCTGTAGGCAGGCAATTGATATTATGTTTGTTATAGAATGATACCCTCATTAAATACTTAAGGCCAATAATATCCTGTTTTACAGATAGAAAACTAAGGCTTGCCTTACACTCTGTTGGTTGCTAGTAGATGGACATACTAGGATTCAAACCCCATTTGCAACTGATTCCATCTTCTTTCCTCAGTGGAACACTGCCTTTCACAGACTCAGCTCATGGGAGACCTGAGTTACACGGTCCTGTGTTCTCACCTTAAGAAGAATAAACACATAGTAATGTTTCTATCCAATCCTGTTCCCAGCCACAGGGCAGTATAAGGCTTTTAAGCATGGTTGGGCAAGAAGAAACCACCCAATAAAGGAAGCCAACCACCAACATTGATTGGGATAAAATTGAGTTTGCTTAGAAACACCTGGTACTCTTAGGGGAGGGGTTCTTTCTCAAAACAGAAAACTAATTTGGAAATTCAAAAGTCTTTCATATTTAGGTATATTTCCTATTACAATACCTAAATGCCAGCATAGAAGATTTTAGAGGTATTTTGGAACCCCTGAGATGTTTTCTGTTTGCTCGTTGCTTCATCAGATTGTGTGGGGGGGGGTTGTGTTATGACTTCCTTAAACAGTCTGTTAAGGAAGGGCGAGTCTCAGCAGGAGATTCACACTGGCCATCCTGGCAGTCCTAGTAATTCATGGAGATGGTGTCCTCCTAGATACTTGAATTCTAGTTGGACTTGGGTGGTACTTTTCCAATCAGGACAAGCACCAGATAAAGTTAAGGTAAGGCAGAATTTAGCTTGGAAATCAGCAGCCCCATTGATGAGCCCCTTTCCTACTAAATAAATGTCTCATGTCACACAATCTGAAAAATTCCTTCAATCTCTCAAGTCAACTGTACCATCTCCATTCTTGGTATTTGGAGATGGAGACAAATTTAATGTGTTTTTTTTTTTAACCTTTTCCAAGTAGTGATGAGTTGTGTTCTTGTTTCTATGGAATATTTGCCCCAGTCTTTCCATGGCAAGGATTCTCTTTTTAAGAAAACTGTGGTCCATAAATCTGAGAAGGAACTTGGCTGAGCCCACACAGTGAAAATGTAATCTTCACCTAGTTTGATTTCTTTAAAAATATAGATGACTGTTTTTTCAATAGCTGTTCTATATTACCTTGGTTAAAATCACCACATGCCATCTTCCTAGGTTCTCGGGAACTATTTCACTGTTAAACACCAAGTGCTTGCTAATAATGGATTTATTAGTGGAGAACATATGGGGCCAATAGAAATTAAGTATTTACTCAAACATGGAGCTGCTCATAGGACTGAGCGTTGATCTTCGTTTCAGACACTTGGCACGGTTCACATTTTGTTTCACATAATAGTTCCCTTAAAATCATGTGAGCCAACTGTAAAGGACCCAGTGTATGCCATTTTGAAGATGCGATGGTCACAAACGCATTGGTTTCCACAGCGAGGTCGTGCCTGGGCAGACATATCAGTACCAAGTTCAAGCTGCAGCTGGAGGGGAACTCGGAGAAGCGTCACCACCTCTGAGCCACATCCATGGAGGCCCTTACTGTGGAGATGGGAAGGTGGCAAGGTGAGTCACGTGTGTAACAGTGTGAGTTAGGATGCACTCACCTGCCCCGAGGGGCTCAGCTTCGGTTTGAGCTTGACTCAACTTAAAAATGCCTAGAAGCAAGGGAATGCGTGAATCTCAAGTAGAGCTAACAAAATTTGGGGCCTTGAGAGGTGACTGGCACCTCTGCATAAGCTAAAGGAGTCTGGTCCCCAGTGTTGAGGTACTAGGGTTTTCTCTCTGGGGCCCCCTTAAGTCCTCAGGGAGGAGCTGCAGGGCAGTGAGGTAGGGAAGGAATTTTCATAGATGAAGGTTAAATAATACTGAAGGAGGATATAATTTGGACCAACGGTCTGCTTGTTCAACGTGCAATATTTGTTCTAATTTAATTTAAGGTAATTCAGTTTTCAAGCTGAAACTCAATTTAGTTGTTGGAAAACCTTTAAGTATAACTTGAAAGTTTGAGACAATTTGGATAGATGAATCGACTTTTTCAACTACAAATATAAAATTGAAAAGTCAAGTATAAAAGTGAGATTTAAGTAAAAAGTGCATTTTAAATGCAGTAGACTCTTAAGTTTTGGACACTTATGTTTAGACACTTATGTTTTGGATACAAAAAGAATGCTACATGTTTTGACAACCTTTTTTACATTGATTAAAATTCAAATGGTAATGTTAAGGGTCCTCAGTTGGATGAAAGGCAGTATTATAGCTAATTCTACCAGTTTCTTTCACTTTTTAAGTAACTACTAGAAATTTCAAAAAAATATATGAACGACTCATTAGATTTCTATTGGGCAGCACTACACAGAATGACATGCAATATCGTTATATTAATTGTTTGCCCTTTTCGAAATAAAATTGTAAAGTTGCCTCTTTCCAAGATCACATCCCAGCAGGGAAACATTAGCATTGCATCTGCAGACCAATTCTCTCTCCATACGCAAGTAAACAAGCAATGGAGCTTTGGGATTCTTCTTGAATATCACATGGTAGTCTTGGCACCGAGGGCAGTCTCTCTGTAGTGAAACATACTTCTTTTGTATGAAAAGAATGTGAAGGGGCTGTAGAGATGGCTCAGCAGTTAAGAGCATGGGATGCTCTTCCAGAGGACCTGTGTCCAAACGACTGAATTTCTTTTTCCTTTGAGGCTAGATAGTATTCTACTGAATGTGTGTCACAGTTTCTTTCTCCACATCAGCTGTTTGACACGTAGGCGGTTTCTGTCACTTAGCTATTTTGAACAATGCTGCAATGAACATGCTTGTACAGACATCTTCTTGACATGCCAATTCCATTTCCTTTGGACATAATACCCAGAAGTGGGATTCCAAGACTACATAGTAATCCTGTGTGTGTATGTGTGTGTGTGTGTGTGTGTGTGTGTGTGTGTTGTCTTTCTCAGTTTCTTGCATTCATGTTTTGTAATTTGCATTCTAAATGGGATTGCTCTTTTTATTTTTATTTCCCATAACTGGTTATTAGTATTTAGTGATGCTACTGTTTTTGCACATCACTGGAGCTAAAAAATTAAATACAGTAAAATTGAATGATACAAACCAGCTATTTTCAAGGCTCCATTTATCACAGAGCTGATGGAGATAGTGTCAGGCACGCTTTGAGGCCTGGGAGGACCTCCTGGATGTTCTTGAGCTATAATGCACTTGATTTCTAGGAATTCCTACAATCCCCTAACCATGCTAGGCTACCGTTTTGCGGAACTCACATCTACTTTAAATATTTGTTTAAGATTTTCTGTAAATTATTAAATATCTATTTCTTGCACAGCTTTTAATTTTAAAAGTGCAATGAGGAGTTTAGATGATTTGCTGGTAGCTGAATGAGATATGTCATTTTAAGCGTGTCTAAATGTATATTCCTAGGAGTATGGGAGAAATGTGCGATGATGGAGACCTGTTAAACGGAGATGGGTGCTCCAAAGCATGTGAGCTGGAGGAAGGCTTCCACTGTGTAGGTGAGTCTAGGGGGTTACGTCTTACTTTTAGAGCTACATCAGTGTACTATTTTGTGAATTCTTAGTGTCCTGAAGCTCAGTGATGATTAAAGCAATAACATCAAATACTTCACATATAGTAACTAATTTGAATTCTCACTTTAACCATGAAGAAACTAAATAAATAGAAACACAAAAGGCTTAAATAATTTTTTTTTTAAATTTACCTTAAAGTGTTAGTTAGGATTTGAGGCAAGGGAGAACAGATCTAGAATTTCATGCTAAAGAGATTGTACTGGTCCCCAGCTTGACCTTCCAAAGGTCTTCTCTTGGGTCCTCATGCATACACCAAAATGCCAGATAGCAAGAATGATCATTGTAGGTTCTACCTATCAATTAGGGTCACACAATATTCTAATCCAGATGAGAAGCAATATATCTCTTGATTTCTATATCTCTTGATTTCATGAAGGCCAGCAGAGGGTTCTGGTGTTTTCTGTCCTGGGGAATGAGTGATGATAAGTTATAGTTAGATGAAATCATGTCTAAATCCATGTCATTAGAAGAGGCCTACAATGCTCCCCTAGTCATGATGAACACATCCATGAACAGGTTCCTCAGATGCAGACTATTTCCCATTCCCATACACCACATTGATGATCTGGAGTAGAACCCCACAATAAAGTTGTTTTAAATATCAGTGCATTTGAAATCACTTCAGTGTCCTTCACTCTTAAGGTGATGTAGCATATTACAGAAATGTAGAACTTATTAAGGTGTCAGCTACTACATAAAACACACTGACACCCCTGCTCTCCAGAGTCGCAGCTGAGTCACAGAATCTTTGCATCACCTCTCTGTCCATCCAGCTCTCCACCCAGCCAAACAATGGTCCACTGTATACCATGTGCTAAGTAACATCACATGGTGCGCTCAGCGCCTGCAGTATACCAGTATATGAAAGGGATTGTTCTCTTTCCAGATAGATGGGTCAGAAGGAGCTTAGAGTCCAGCTTTGCATTTAGAGAATTTAGAGCATTTAGAGTTACATCTATCCAGTCCTGAGATATGGGCACACAGCTTCCGCTTATGTAATCCTGGCAATGAAAGAATGTACTTGACAAGATGATTCTGTTTAACCATGGCCTTATCTGTTACAATTTCTTTCTTTGGTCTCCCAGTTTTCATTTTGTAAACTGAGGCTCAGACCATCTTACTGACTCACTGAAGGGGACACATGGACCCTGCCAAGCTGGCCCTGGAACTTAACTTCCCTTATATTCAATCAAGCGAGATTTTCTTACTACAAAGCTTCAAGAGGATGCATTTTTTTTCCTGTTTTATTTGACTACCATTCAGATATTTGAAATGCCTCTTCACTATTCTCCTTTCCAATCCAAACATCCCCTCATGTGATTGGGTTTCCAGACCCTTTCCTATTTACCCCAACCTGGCATGCTTTGTATGGTCAATGCCAAGAAAGGAATGCAATACCCCAGATGTGGTCTGGCTGTGCAGAGTTCACTGAGCCAATTACCCCCCTCTTTTGTGCACAAGTATTTGTTAATACCACCTCTGTTTGTATCATTTCTTCCTGGGAGCCAAGTAATGGTCACATATTGAAAAATAAACACACATTCCCTGCGCGCTGTGCCATCTCCAAATGCAGCTCCAGTCTCATTTAACTCAAGAACAGGATTCACGGTGTTTCTATCACATCTGATTCCTGGACTCATATTTTCTCAACCTCCTACTCCAGTAAGACTATATCTCAATTACTTTAACTACACTTAAAAACCATATTTAAGCTGATATTTAAGTTATTGACTGAGTTAAATTGATGTGGTATATTCTACTATTAGACATCTTTTTTGATGAATAAATTTATCATATGCTAAATGTATGATTTTTACGGTTATATTTAAAAAAAAATTAGATTGGAAGGAACCATCTTAAATTTGATTTTAAAGTGGTCTGTTATTTTCTTATGAAACTGCAAAAAGAAAAAAAAACACCCAAAACAAAAGAAACAAACAAACAAACCAAAAACAAAATAGTTTTTAATTCTGTGGTTAAAATGGAAAAAGAAAGAAATAAGAAGAAACAGTCCCT